CCTTCTTTAATATAACATATCTTTTAAAACCCTGTGTTTTGGATATTGTCCTTAATTTCTTTTTTAATATATTTGAAAGCGGTTTGTCTTTGTTATAAGAGTATTCCTTTTCATCTATAATAACCTTGTTGAGTTCTTTATTCCCACGCGTTTTTATGTTGCCTATGCGACTACTTATTAGGTAGTCCATTATATAATCATAATCCGGTTCAGCCATATACTATTAAGGCCGTTTTTCTTTAAGTATATTTTGGCTAGGTTTTGTGTTGGTGGGTTGGGGTTGGTGGGCTTATGGTTGCAACGCGACCCTCGGGTTGGTGTTTCAAAAGTACCTCCTTTAGAAATACGATTTTCAAAATTGATGTTTTTTAATTTTTCTGTTGTTTTTGTCAGTGTTTTCCTATGTTTTTTCGGGTGGTTTGCTTTTTTTTTGTTGCTTTTGGTTGTGATTTTCCCTCGGGTAGGTGTTTTTAGTCCGTCCTCTATAATCAGTATTTTCAAAATTGATGTTTTTATTTGTTTCACTTGTTTTTGTCAGTGTTTTCCCTATGTTTTTTCGGGTGTTTTGTGTGTTTTATAGGTTTTGATTGTGATTTTTCCCTCGGGTAGGTGTTTTTATTCCGTCCTCTATAATCAGTATTTTCAAAATTGATGTTTTTATTTGTTTCGCTTGTTTTTGTCAGTGTTTTCCCTATGTTTTGTTTGTGTTTTGCTCTTTTTGTAGGTTTTGGTTGTGATTTTTCCCTCGGGTAGGTGTTTCAAAAGTACCTCCTTTAGAAATGCGATTTTCTAAAACGATGTTTCAATTTGTTTCGCTTGTTTTTGTCAGTGTTTTCCCTATGTTTTGTTTGTGTTTTGGTGTTTGTGTATGTGGTAGTGTTACGTGTTTTTGTGCTTGATGCGGGTCTCGGCGTCATGACTTGGAAAGAGTCGTGGGTGAAAATGGGTTTCTCCGAAGGGGGTTGTGGGTGAAAATGGGTTTCTCGGAAGGGGGTTGTGGGTGAAAATGGGTTTCTCCGAAGGGGGTTGTGGGTGAAAATGGGTTTCTCCGAAGGGGGTTGTGGGTGAAAATGGGTTTCTCCGAAGGGGGTTGTGGGTGAAAATGGGTTTCTCCGAAGGGGGTTGTGGGTGAAAATGGGTTTCTCCGAAGGGGGTTGTGGGTGAAAATGGGTTTCTCCGAAGGGGGTTGTGGGTGAAAATGGGTTTCTCCTAGTAGTGTGTATAGTCTGATTTTAGTAGGGAAAATGAAGGGTGAAAATGGGTTTCTCCGAAGGGGGTTGTGGGTGAAAATGGGTTTCTCCCGCCCTGTCCTCCAGCACCTTGAACTCACTGACGAAGTTCAAGAAGTTTGCTATAACCTTAAAATTAGTTATGAAAAAGTTTTAGACGAAGATGATGTTACTATGATTGTAGATGAGATTAAGAAGTATGATGAAGAAATTACAAACTTTGAAACTAAAAGAGACCATTATAAGAAGTTACTGAATGATATTAGTAAAGTAACAGAAGATGAAGAAGATGAAACTTTAACTGAGGAAAGTAATAAACAAGAGTTTGATGTTCCTTACAATTCATCATGTGGATATTTAATGAGATAAAACTATGAAACCACCTAAAGACTAGAAACCCTTATATACTAAGGATGGAAACAAACAAAGTGTGTACAAGATGTAAGAAAGAGAAAACCTTAAGCGAGTTTAACAATACTAACAAACAATGTAAAAGTTGCATTGATATACGACATGCTTATTATTATAATAACCTAGATAAACATAAGCAATGGTACAGAGAAAAATATGAACGACATAAGGAACAGATGCTAGAAGTGAGGCGTGAGTATAAGAAGATTGAAATTGAATGTCCTATATGTAATTGTATTATTAAGAAATATAAAAAGGCAGAACATGAGAGAACAAAGAAACACATCAGAAACTTAGAAAAACAACAACCATAATATTATTAATAAATATAATATAATGGTTGAACACTAAGTTTTCGTGTAGCATATGCGAACAACAACATAAACCCCAGGACTGTCCAAACTCCGAACAATTCCCGAACCAATATTTACCATATGATGTTATAATCTATGAACCACGGAAGAATACCGAAACAAGAAGTGGAAAATAACGAATGAGGAGACAAGAAACAAAATGTAAGGAAAAGTAATATGTGTAGAAATGGAAACGTGAGAGGTGGAGCAAATACTTAAATGAGATGTACCGGAACTGAGGCTAAGCAGAAAACAGAGGAGATGAGCAAAAAGTGAGCAAGAATGAGAAAACGAACGAGATGAGATGAACTGAAAAACGTGAAAGGGTAAGACAACAGGGGTGAGAAAGTCAATGACCCTAGAAGTGAAAACGAAACAGGTGCAACGAATGGAGAAAAGTTAGGATGCAATGAGAAAAAACAAAGAATGAAAGAGGCGGGGCAACCCTAAACCCATTGACCCTTCAATCCCCCTTTCCACTATTTTTTTGGGGGGGGGGGGGGGGGGGGGGCGGCACCCATGAGCCGCAGCCATGAGGACGCAGTGGAAAGAGCCCCTCAAGGGCTCCCCGCTTGGCTCAGGCATGTTCCTATGGCGGCGAGCGCCATGACGAAGAGCGGCGGTCTTAGCAACAAGAAGAGTTGGCAGGGGCGGGTGTTGCAATTCACGTGGGCCACGTCGCGTATGGTCAAAAACCCTAAACCCTAAACCCTCAACCCTAAACCCTAAACCCTAAACCCAAAACCCAAAACCCAAAACCCAAAACCCAAAACCCAAAACCCAAAACCCTAAACCCTAACCCTAAACCCCAAAACGGACTAGACATGGCACTTTCTGAGACGGGGAGGTGCCTCCGAGTGCCTCTATCGGGCCTCACAGAAGACGAGCGCGCGGGTCGAGGCTCCGGCGCTGATTGGTTTAGGGTTTAGGGTTTAGGGTTTAGGGTTTAGGGTTTAGGGTTTAGGGTTTAGGGTTTAGGGTTTAGGGTTTAGGGTTTAGGGTTTAGGGAGGTTTTGGGGTTTGGGTTTTGGGTTTAGGATTTAGGGTTTAGGGTTTAGGGGGATCCGGATTACGGCCGTGACTCTCGCAGGTTTTGGCGACAATCTGCAGTTTGCCGCCAAGCTTCGCGAGCTGTTGAAGCAGAAGGCGGCGGTCTGCTCGAAGGGTGCAACCGGGTGCTGAGCCGGATCTGTGCAGCCACTGAACCCTGAACCCTGAACCCTGAACCCTGAACCCTGAACCCTGAACCCTGAACCCTATGAAGCCATGCAGGGCTCCCTCCACGTTGCGCAAGTCCCTGCGAACTGGGATAAGCTGCATCTCGGCTCGAAGGAGTTGTCACAAGCTGTAGGAAGCCCCCGTTGAGCAGCCCGAAACCCTAAACCCGAAACCCTGAACCCTAAACCCTAAACTGCCTGGGCCTCCGAGGTATGGCGAAGGGGCCTGGCAGCGCGATCGTCCCATAAAGTCGGCCATGAAAGTGCGGGAACCCAGGGGGGGGCGGGGGGCCCGACTCTGCCTTTGAGACGTTTTAGACTGTTGAGAGTTTAGGGTTTATTGTTTACGGTTTCGGGTTTAGGGTTTAGGGTTTAGGGATGCTCAACGGGGGCTTTTCCAGCTGGTACCCCCCATAAAAGACCCCTCAAAAAGGGTACCCCTATTGTGGGAGATGCCCACATGAGTACGAGGGCCGGGCCGAGCGGGTGAACTTGTCTGTTCACTCCGCTAACCCTAAGCCCTAAACCCTAAACCCTAAACCCTAAAACCTAAACCCTAAACCCTAAACCCTTTTTTCCCCACTGAGGCTTGCACATCCAGCCACGTCACCGGGGTCAAGGTCCTCGACCAGGCGCGTTTTGGGGGCCTCCCTGGTGCGATCGTTCTCTGAGACCCCCAAAGAGTTGTTTAGGGTTTAGGGTTTAGGGTTTAAGGTTTAGGGTTTAGGGTTTAGGGTTTAAGGTTTAGGTGAACGTACAGAGTGGCGATGCCTGATCCCCCGAAGGTGGCCCACTTGGTGGAGGACGGGCCGCTGGTGCGTAAGTGCCTTCTCAGAGGGAGCTCCTAAACCCTAAACCCTAAACCCTAAACCCTAAACCCTAAACCCTAAACCCTAAACCCTAAACCCTAAACCCCAAGAGCCTAAGACCATGCGGGGGAGTTACGAAAGTCGGGGACCCCCCCAAAATAGTAGGCTTCCCTTATAAGAAGGTGCGCCCATTTTCGGAAGCCAGCGTACCATTTGCCCGATGCCTTGGGGACGAAATGAACCCTAAAAGGGTTTATGGCTCATATACCTTAATAGGAATTATCGTAGTTCTGGGTATATGACCACTAAACCCTAAACCCTAAATCCGAAACCCTAAACCCTAGTTGTCCCCCAACGTCCCCAAGGTGCATCCAAAGACTCAGATGTTGTGGGGTTTGTTTTGGAGGGTTTAGGGTTTAGGGTTTAGGGTTTAGGGTTTAGGGTTTAGGGTTTAGGGTTTAGGGTTTAGGGGCGGGCGAGGATGCCAGCTACGACGGGCCAGAAACCCGAGAAGCGATGGAGGCTGGATGGAGGTGAGTGCTGCTCTGTTTAGGGTTTAGGCTTTAGGGTTTGGGGTTTGGGGTTGAGGGTTTGGGCGTAGGAACGGAAGGCTTTTGATGGCGCCCGAATGCCACAGAGGCAGACGACAGCACGCTGCAGGCGCTTACGGAGGAGGCTCGGGCGTATCCAACGTACAGAAAGCCGGCAAACCCTAAGCCTTGACCCCCAAACCCCAAACCCTATTTCGGACGGACGCTGCACTTCGCGCAGGCTCTAGATCTATTTGCGACACTTGCAGGCAATCGATGGGATGTAGGACTGTTCGACAAGTTCAGGGGAGTTGAAGCCAAAAGCCAAACGTCTGGGGGCCGTGCTGGAACCTGAGAATGGTGTTCGCTGGCCACGCTTCGGCTCCAGACTCTTGTCGAGACCTCGCGTCTTGTTGCTGCCAGACTCCCTAGTGCTTGCTTCGCCAGAGCCATGACGATGCCCAAGCGTGCAGGTGCCGTCCAGGCGTCTTCCTTGGCAGTGCTGTTCATGACCTGGGCGCCTGTCGTGTCAGGCATGTCTGGCTCGGGCTGGACATGGTTCTTTAAGGGTTCAGCTCCCCAGATGCTTGCTGAGGCGGAGCCAACAAACTTTTTGTTTGTTGGCAACCCCGGCACAGGAAAGAGCACCATCCTCAATGGCCTGATTGGCGAGTTGACATTCCAATCGGGCATCTCGTATGGTGAGGGTATGACGTACAGGTTTGACCAAGTCAAACATGGCAAGCATACCTTCATGGACACACCAGGCCTGTCCGACATGAAGAGGCGGGAGGCTGCTGCGGAGGCTATCACCGAGGCTTTGAAGCAAGACGGCCGCTACAAAATCTTCTTCGTCATCACGCTCCAGAATGGCCGGGTGCGACCTGAGGATGTAACCACCATGAACTTGGTTCTTGACGCGGCGCCCATCACGCATTATGCCATCATCATCAACCAGATGCCGCAACGCGAGTTCGAGGAGCTCAAGTCCGATACCAGCCCGGCATCTGGACATTTGGCCAGGTCACTGTTGGCAACGCTGCCCTCCGACAAGGCAATCCCGCTTATCTGCCCAGTTGCGCGCGACTCTGCTCTGGAAGGTGCGGATAACAAGGTGAAGCCACTCCCCGAAGCCTTGGTCAAGTTCATAGTGCAGAAGACTCGCGGCATGGAGATCAGAAGCCAGGATGTTCAGCAGGTGAGAGTTAACGAGTGGGACGAGAAAGTGCAAGGTCTTGAAGAGCAACTTAGCAGCGTGCAAGCAAACAACCAGCATCTGATTCGAGCTCAGAAGGACTCGGAGGAGACCAACAAGGCTCTGCAAACACAACTCCAGCGAGTGCAGAAGGACTCGGAGGAGACCCGCAAGGAGCTGCAAGCACAAGTCCGGCGAGCTCAGCAGGACCAGGAGCGAGAGGCACAAGGCACACGACAACTCGAGCAAGTTGTGTCATCTTTGGAGCAGCAGTATCGTTTCATGGTGCAGCAGCTCCGTAAAAAATCAGAGGAAAGTGAAAAACACATGCTGGCCTCCGTAGCTATCGGAGGCCTTGCAGCACTGGGCTTTCCAGCCATATTGCCATTTGTTCGCTAAGCTCAGAAGTAGTGCCGGTCGAAACTTCGACGCAGATGAAGACGCGCATGCAATCCAGAGGCAGGGGATGAAAGCCTGCATTGGCACGCTGTTCCTCTGCCCCAGGTTGCAGTTTTTGAGAAGGGAAAGCAAAGACATGTCAGACTGACAGCGATTTCAGTGTTGAGAAAAAAGGGACTCCCTGCACGTGCATTCGTATGACTCCTAAGCCCTAGGCATTTCGTATGATTCCTCTTCCAAGAACAGATGACAAAAGTTCACGACTATTCTACTGCATTGTGGCAGATGCGTCATCTCCTCTCAAGTTTTCAGCTCAGACCGACCTTTGACCTCACACTTGCAATTGGTTGGGAACCCTAAACCCTAAACCCTAAACCCTAAACCCTAAACCCTAAACCCTAAACCCTAAGCCGAAACGAGCGCTAAATGCCGTCTGAGACTTGTCATCTGAGGCGAAAGAGGTGTTGCAGCTGGAGTTCGATGCTGCCATACGCAGCCATCGAGCCAAGCTCCCAGTAAGACTTGAGCTGGTCGCTGGGGCCCTATTCATGCTTCTATTTCGTTCTTGTTTCGTTCATATGTTCATTAAATTCATGCGTCCTGCGTCCTTATAATTGAATTCACGTATTCTCTTCAGGGCGTTCATTACATTCACACCCTAATAATCATACTAATAATGCAGCGGGCGAAATAAAGCGAATTAGCTCGCACGAAACGGTGACGTGAATTCACTTCGTACACTCTTTTCTTTCGTTTCCTTGTTCGTTCACTCTTGTCATTCACACACTCATTATATTGTATGCGTGCCTCACTACGTTCGTGACCATTGCAATATAATTCATGTGTTCCCTTAATAGTATTACGGGCGAGTGAAAAGATCTTATGTTCGCCCGCCATAATAGTAATCCTGACGTGAATGCACGCAAAGCTCCGAAGAGCGTGGCTCAAACCCGAAACCCTAAACCCCACACCCTAAACCCGCAAACCCTAAATCCTAAACCCTCAACCCTATGCAGATTGAGGTCCTGCCCAAGCTGGCTCGAATCCCTGTCCGAAACGCCCGGGGCCCGACGAACAAACAGCACCTTCGCAGAGCAGAGGCGTGCACACAAGATGGATCTGCAGCATTTCTCTTTTTTTTTTGGGGGCGGGGGAGTCTTTCCATACTCGGTGTGGATTGCATGTCATATAACATTTGCAGTATATAAATTTTCATATACAGAAAGAAATTAACCATATAAACATAAATATGAAGATAAATATAAATATAAATATAAATATAAATATAAATATAAATATAAATATAAATATAAATATGTATAAATATATATATATATATATCTATGCATACATACATACATACCTACATACATCCATACATACATACATACTCTTCACATGACCCCATGTTCTGCATCTTATGCCAAATATGAGCTTCCGGCCTCACTGCAGGCGGACGGGGAGATTCAGAGCACCTGGCGCTGCTTGCTGCAGCCCCAGCCGTGCGGTGAGGCGGGGGCACCCTCAAACCCTAAACCCTAAACCCTCATACGCCCCCTTACCTGCTCAAGGAACTGTGGCTTGTGGATAATGTAGGCCTTGGTGCTAAGCAGCTCCTGAGAGGCAGAAGATTCGGACGACAACGTGCAGGTCCAAATTCGTATGTTCTCGGTTAGGGACACGTCGCGAGGGTCCCATCTTGGCATCGGCTGTCCTAGCCCTAAACCCTAAACCCTAAACCCTAAGCCCTAAACCCTAAACCCTAAACCCTAAGCCCTAAGCCCTAAACCCTAAACCCTAAACCCTAAACCCTAAACCCTAAACCCTAAACCCTAAACCCTAAGCCCCAAGCCCTAAGCCCTAAGCCCTAAACCCTAAACCCTAAACCCTAAACGCAAACCCCAAACCCTAAACCCTAAACCCTATTGGAAGGATGGCGGGGATGCGACTCTGCGAGTTCAGGCCGAAGACTCCGGCTCTTCCATGCCATGTCGGTCTGCTCGTGTTAAAGCCCTAGAACCCTAAACCCTCTGAGGGTTCAGGGTTTAGGATTTAGGGTTTGGGGTTTAGGGTTTAGGGTTAGGGAGACCCCAAACCCATTGAGGCACTCTTGCACAGCCGGTTCAGCGCTGTGGCCGTCGCCCACTTCTCTGCTCTTCCCTCTTCATGGGTTTGCCTGCTACCCCCCTCTATACTACCCCCCTTGGTTCCCCCCTTAAATATCCCAAATTAGGCCAAATTGCCTAAAGCGGAACTCACGGGGGGGTAGTATAGAAGGGGGGAAGTAGGGAAACCCGCGACCTCTGGGAAGGACTCTGTCGGTTACGCCGCTACAGCCGAAGATGCCGAGCTCATCGCCAGGCTTGTACAACGGAGGTTCACTTCCTCGTGGAACTTTCTTTTCCAGGTAGGCCCTTGGGACAGATTTCTAGATATTTTCCCTTCTTGGGTTTAAGAGGGTCATATTCAGGAATATGATTTTCAGAGAGGTTAAAGAGGGCCATCCTAGTTGTTGTTTCGATTCGTTGGCACTGAATCGGGGCCATGAGATGAGCAAGTAGAGGAAGAAAGGTCTCGGCCACACAGGGTGCCCAGAAAGGAGGGCGATGGTGCCCTAAACCCTAAACCCCAAACCCTAAACCCCAAACCCCAAACCCTAACCCCTAAACCCTGAACCCTAAACCCTAAACTCTAAACCCTAAACCCTAAACCCCAGGCTCCGCCTTCTGGAAGCCCTGCAGAGGCCAGGTGTGAGATGCGCTCCTTGCTTGCTTAGGGGTTTAGGGTTTAGGTTTTGGGGGTTTAGGGTTTGGGGTTTAGGGTTTAGGGGTTTAGGGTTTAAGGCTTAGGGTTTAGGGTCTAGGGTTGGGGTTTAGTGTTTAAATTTAGGGTTTACGGTTTAGGGCTCCTTGTTTTCATTGTCTTTTGTTTGCTTGTCCGTTCGTTCACCTAGGTGTGTGCCCGGCGCGTGTGACCTGTGTGCCAAGAATAAGAACAAGAATCATTAGTCACCACTGTGCATGTCCACGCCCTTTCACATGTTTTGTGTGTGTGTGTGGCAGCACGTGCATGCAAGGTCCATACATTTCGTGGAAGGGCCTACTCGGTCTTCGGAGCTGCATCATGTTGCATGAAGAGAGCCCCTAAACCCGAAACCCTAAACCCTAAACCCCAAACCCTAAACCCTAAACCCCAAACCCTAAACCCTGAACCCTAAACCCTGAACCCTAAACCCTGAACCCTGTGAATCAGGTGGGAGATGCCTTCAGCCGCCCTTTGCCATGCCATTCAGCTCGAGAGACAGCTGCAGGCCCCAGCCGCCCTGTTTAGGGTTTTTAGGGTTTTCTGGGTGGCTTAGGGTTCTTAGGATTTATAGGGTGTTTTAGGGTTTTTTGGGGTTTATGGGGTGGTTTAGGGTTCTTAGGATTTTTAGGGTGTTTTGGGGCTTTTAGGGTTTTTAGGATTTATAGGGTTTATAGGGTTTAGAGGGTTCTTAGGGTTTATGGGGTTTTCCAGGGTTTTCAGGGTTTACAGGTTTTACAGAGTTTAGGGTTTGGGGGAGGAGGAGGGGGCGGGCTCGGTTGCCTGAATCGCTTCTTGCTCCTCGCGCCGTGTGCGGGACATGCTTCAAGCGTATGAGACGTCGAATACGAGTACCCCAAAAGGTCAAAGAACCTAGAAGAACAGAATCGCGGAAGAAGGGAATGGTAGAATAATGGAATTTTTATAGAATAACAGAATAATCGAATAATGGAATACTTACAGAATAACAAAATTGTAGAAGAACAGAATAATGTGAGTGACAGAATCGTAGAATAATTGAAAGAACAGAATAGCAGAATAATCGTTCAGCAGAATAACAGCATAATAGAAGAACAGAGTGACCCTAAACCCTAAACCCTAAACCCTAAGCCCTAAACCCTAAACCCTAAACCCTAAACCCTAAACCCTAAACCCTAAAACCTAAAACCTAAACCCTAAACCCTAAACCCTAAACCCTGAACCCTGAACCCTGAACCCTGAACCCTGAACCCTGAACCCTGAACCCTGAACCCTGAACCCTGAAGCCTTGGCAGAATCGAGCTCTTGAGCTCCTCCACGCATGCCGGGATCCGGACCTGGACCTGGATCCACGGGTGCCAGAGGTTCGCCCGCGCCGGGTTTGGTGTTTAGGGTTTAGGGTTTAGGGTTGAGGGTTGAGGGTTTAGGGTTTAGGGTTTAGGGTTTAGGGATACTTGCAGAGGCTCATGGGTACTTACAAGTAGGGCTATAAAGTAAGGGAGTTCTTATGCTGCTAATCATCTAAGTCGGGCTTTTAAGTAAGGTAATTGTGGTTACTTCATTCGAAGTGGCTGTACCCTCAATTCGGGTACTTCTCACCCCACTTTCAAGTACCCATGAACCTTCAAGTAGGGTCCTCTTCCTGAGATGTTCCGATGCATGGCCCGTCGACAGTGGGCTTGTTGCTGTGAACGTGCTTGAGATGTGCGAGACAATCATGTAGTTGATTATCATCATCTGGTTTAAAATATCGTAATCGGGCAAAACATGTGAAGTAATTTGATATGATTAAGGTAACTTGAATATGGCATCGACACAGCAGCTCAATGCACAAATATGCAGTGCAGACGTTTGCCAACAAGTGCTAGAGACGAAGCGCGGGGGGACATCTCCAAAGCGGATGAAAGCTCGGTCGGTCTCCAAAGTCGAAGAGCAGAAAAACCTCGCAGCGCAAACCGGGGAGGGATCGATTTGCATCGAGCCTCCCTCGAACCTCTTCGAACCTTTGAAGCGCACGGCTGTTCAGGGTTTAGGGTTTAGGGTTTAGGGTTCAGGGGGTTTAGGGTTTAGGGTTTTTTTGCTGTTCAGCACGGCAAATCGAGTTGGATTCATACGGCGGCCTCTGGGGATGATCGTTGCCCTAGCATACGCGCAGGGTGTTTCTCCCTCCGGGTCCCCTTTCGCTGGTAGCGTCTGCTACCGACTGAAGCAACTTGTTTTGCCAGGAGACTCACGCGGACTGCACCGCATGCGTGAAGGCACGGGGCGAGAGTTGCGCGGAGTTGTGCTGCATTTCCGCTGGCTTTGGAGGGCCATCCGGAACCCTAAACCCTGAACCCTAAACCCTAAACCCTAAGCCCTAAACCCTAAACCCTAAATCGGCAGGGCCTGGTGGAGGCCCTTGACGAGGTCCTGCAGAGGTCGCAACAAGCACAGCGGGGGGGCTCATGTATGGTAGTTCGCTCTAAATCAGGGCCTCGACTGGGAGGTTCACGGGTACTTGTAACCCCAAGTTTTAAGTCTGCTTACAACCTACTTGGAGGACTGAGGGCTCTGTGTTGCAACTCCTGTCTAGGACAGTCAACCAGAGTAATTACGCCCGCAACCTAGGATTCCGAGGAATGCTCCCCTAGCAGCCCTTGAAGCCAGCAGTCTAGCCATCCTTGCGGGAATTCTGTGACTGCGGATTTGTCCAATAAAGAGACGGCCTGCTTTGCAGTGAGCACCGCTGCCGGGCGAGCTGCTGGGCACTGCTGGCGAGGCAGGTGTCCACAGTTCCTGTGAAGCAGGGCATGACATTTGGGGGCTCGTGAGCGATTTTCATGAGTCTGATAGGTGGGGTGCCCGACCTGGGGAGACACGTAGTCAGAGCGCCCCCCCCCCCCCCCCCCCCCCTGCTCAACGAAGGTCTTGGTCCAAGATCCTTTCCATGCGGGAATGCGAAGCTCGCCCCTCAAAGCTCAGTGGCCTGCAGCTTCGGAAGTCCTTCCGCCGTTCGGCCCCTAGCCCGGCGCCAGCTAAGTGGAGTCATCGCCGCAGAGTTAAAAAGCACAGTGCGGGCAGTGCGGGTCATTGCAGAGCTGAAGGACACGGAGCTCGTGCAGAAGCTGCTCAGTGCCGTGTGCATGCTCGGGGCCTCGCCGTGGATGCATCACATAGGCGGCCTTAGGAGAATCGGGGACCCCGAATTTTAGACCCCCAAAGTAGTACTGTAGGATCCCCTTATAGACAGGACCCCAAGAAGGTACCCCCTAGTATCATATCTCGTAAAGCCCCCATGTCAGCCGAAACTGGCCGATTCCAGCGTGTGCATGCTTGTGCGCATGCACGCGCTTCAGCACTCCACCTAGTAGTAGAGTAGGTAAACCTGTAGCCTTTTTTTGGGGTAATCCCCTTAGAATCCCAAAGGTTAACCCTTAATTCCCCCAGGTTACTGGACAACTAACCCTACTCCCTAAACCCCAAACCCTAAACCCTGAACCCTAAACCCTAAACCCTAAACCCTAAACAGAGGTGCAAATCGAGACCGACTCTGCAGCAGTGGTCTCAGCTGGCAGAGGAGTGCTCCTAGTGGGCTCAGTATCAGAGGGTTCGGCTTGAACGGGTTTCTAAACCCTAAACGTTTAGGGTTTAGGGTTTAGGGGGTTTAGGGGGTTTATAGGGTTTAGGGTTTAGGGTTTGGGGTTTAGGGTTTGGGGTTTAGGGTTTAGGGGTTAGGGTTCAGGGTTTAGGTAGCTTCATCATGGTATAGTTTGGCTTCAGTAGCGCTTCCGTGTGCCGGTTCCGTTGGAGCCGCACATCCCAGCTGCCTGCAGTTACCCTAAACCCTAAACCCTAAACCCTAAACCCTAAACCCTAAACCCTAAACCCTAAACCCTAAACCCTAAACCCTAAACCCTAAACCCTAAACCCTAAACCCTACGGTTGCTTTTTTCATCTTGAAGGTGGTAGGCCAACCATGCGAAGCATGACTACTAATTGCTTAAGAACTCCCCCCCAAAAAATAAAACATATTCTTCCTTACGGGATTATTGTTTTTATTCTTTTGGGGTTCTTAGCAAATAGTAGATGAAACGATCCTCAGCAGAAGGGAAAATCAGAAAAAAAAAATCAACAAGCTGTAGTTGTACACTGTCGTTGTCAACACTTTAGCAGTAGTGAGGACGGGGGCAAGATTCAAAACTCCCATTCGTACAGCCAAAGTCAGGCCAGTTTATCACGCGCACGCTTGCGTCATGCGGTTCCGATACCGACACTTTTTGTTGGGGGGGGGGGGGGGGGGGGAAACCCTAAACCCTAAACCTTGAACTCGGGGGGTTCGGGGGACTATGATGAATGATTCACGCATACCAGCACACACAGCAGACGGCAAGCCACGCTCTTCATGTCCGTATCTCTCCAGCGCATCTCAACGGCAGATGCTAGGGTTTAGGGTTTAGGGTTTGGGGTTTAGGGTTTAGGGTTTAGGGTTTAGGGTTTAGGGTTTAGGGATGAAGCAATTCTTGGGGACGAAATGAACTCTAAAATTGGGGCCGTAGAACCTATGCTACTATGACTCAGCTGCCACGGAGGCTCGCATCCTCACGCCCTAAACCCTACACCTGCCACCCTAAACCCCGAAACCCTAAACCCTGCACCCCAAGTTCCCACTCCGCTCCAGGAGGCGGCGTTTCAGATTGAGGTGCCTGCTCTGGAGAAGTTGGAGGCTCCCAGTGGCCAAGCCCCTTCATGGGTAAGGGGTGTCAGGAGGCGTCACCGGGGGTTTGGGGCTTGCGTTGGGGTTGAGGTTTAGGGTTTAGGGTTTAGGGTTTAGGGTTTAGGGTTGAGGGTTTAGGGTTTAGGGTTTAGGGTTTAGGGGTTCGGTTTAGGGATCTTCGGGGTTGAGGCCAGTTTAGGCCCGGAAGTTCAGCTTGCCAACGAAGCTGAGAGCTCCGCACAGGGGAGGGCCAACCCCTGTGCTGCCTTCATGTGACTTCATATGGCTGCATGTCCTTGCAGTGTTTCTGCTGGACCGTTGCGGACGCAGGGAGCATGAATCTTGACAGGGTTTAGGGTTTAGGGTTTAGGGTTTAGGGTTTAGGGTTTAGGGTTTAGGGTTTAGGGTTTAGGGTTTAGGGTTTAGGGGGTTATACATGAGACATGAAGCTCACGAGGTTCGTGAGGTCCGAGTCCCCAACCTTCGCAAGCCGCTGCTTGGCCTTTGGGCGTGTCCTTCCAAACAAAAAAGCCCTATAAACCCTTAACCTGAACCCTAAACCCTAAACCCGAAACCCCTGAGCGCTGAAAGCACAAAGGGGTGGCCCCGTTTTTCGGGCGTCCGGCTGCCATGGCGCCCAGTGACGTGCTCTCCGGCTGGCCTACGCCAAGGGCGGCCCAAGAGGCGGCCGTGAGGCCGGAGCTTTAGGGTTTAGGGTTTAGGGTTTAGGGTTTAGGGTTTAGGGTTTAGGGTTTAGGGGCTCCTAGTAAACATGGGGAGAAATGTTTGCTCTGACTTGTAATATGGGGAAAATAACCATCGCCCCCCACAGTTTCGTTTCTTGTTCTTGACAGCCACCGGCAAAAGCGGAGTGCAGCCCTAAACCCTGAACCCTTACCCCCAAATCCTAAACCCCATGAACCTCCAAGTACCTCCCCTTACTGAGGGTTGAATCGGAGCCCTTCCCGGTCTCCAGGTTTCTGGGGTTTAGGGTTTAGGGTTTAGGGTTTATTGTTTAGGGTTTAGGGTTTATTGTTTAGGGTTTAGGGTTTAGGGTGTAGGGTTTAGGGTTTAGGATCTCAGGTTGCTTTCAAGAGCATCTCAGCTCCCTCTTTCCCGATATTCAAGACTTGGAAGAAGGTACCGGCGAGAAAGAGTGCTATTCGGGTTCTTAAGGGAGGGGAGGGTCATTGGGGGGGCGGGGGGGGCATAGCCCCCTTGACCCTAAACCCTAAACGCTAAACCCTAAACGCTAAACCCTAAACCCTAAACCCTAAACCCTAAATCTTAAACCTAAACCCTAAACCCTAAGCCCTAAGCCTTAAGCCCTAAGCCCTAAGCCCTAAGCCCTAAACCCTAAACCCTAAACCCTAGACCCTAGACCCTAAACCCCAAACCCTAAACCCTAAACCCTAAACCCTAAACCCTAAACCCTAAACCCTAAACCCTAAACCCTAAACCCTAAACCCTAATGCAGTGCTCAGTGCTTTGTGGGAAATCTGGTGGCCGAGGGAGCTGGCCCCGCTATGGTCGGCGTCCGGCACCGGCAAGGCTCCTGAAACTCCAGTTTGTCGTTGAGTTTTGGGGGGTTTCCGAAAATGGGGGTTTAGGGTTTAGGGTTTAGGGTTTAGGGTTTAGGGCCATTATATGTGTAAGGGTGGGTGGTTTTGTCAAACAGTTACGGGCTATTATGCCCTGGAGCGAAAAAGGCCCTTTATGGGGTTGATGATGGGGATTGCAAGGCCTCATCGCCCATCCTGGTGGTTTTTGTCAGGGTTTAGGGTTTAGGGTTTGGGGTTTAGGGTTTAGGGTTTAGGGTTTAGGGTTTAGGGTTTAGGTGGTGGTGGTAGGCAGTGGTAGGGCTTAGGGTTTAGGGTTTAGGGTTTAGGGTCTAGGGTTTAGGGTCTAGGGTTTAGGGTTACCGTTGCGGCTAAAGGTCTGCTTCCCATTTGCTTCGAGGCGGATCGGGCCGCGCAGCTGCGCACGTTCTTTGACCCGAGGCCTGGTCATGCCTGCAAGCAGCTGCAAGCATCTGCAAGCTCTGAACCCTACGCCCTAAACCCTAAACCCTAAACCCTAAACCCTAAGCCCTAAGCCCTAAGCCCTAAACCCTAAACCCTAAGCAACTGAGTAGTGTAGTCCATGAACCCGAGCCCAGAAGACAGGCCGAGGGTGCGGCGATCCGCTTTTGGTGTGTTTCCTACAGGCTCCCACTGTACGGAGCCTTGTAGGTTTAGGGCTTTAGGGTTTAGGGTTTAGGGTTGAGGGTTTAGGGTTTAGGGTTTCGGGTTTAGGGTGTAGTAGCACAGGAAATGGGAGGTCCGCTGCCACCGCCCTCTCAGACCGTCGCACCAACCTTCGGCTGCATGGCTTAGCCCAAGATTCTCAGTATCCCTAAACCCTAAACCCTAAACCCTAAACCCTAAACCCTAAACCCTAAACCCTAAACCCTAAACCCTAAACTCGCAGTGGAAGGTCGGGCCTGGTGGAAGGTCGCAGCATCAAGCCGGGTCCGACGTTCTTCGACTTCCAGGAAGCCGCAGGCTGGGATGGGTTTGACATTTTTGCCCTAAACCCTAAACCCTAAACCCTAAACCCTAAACCCTAAACCCTAAACCCTAAACCCTAAACCCTAAACCCTAAACCCTAAACCCTAAACCCGAAACCCTAAACCCTAAACCCTAAACCCTAAACCCTAAACCCTAAACCCTAAACCCTAAACCCTTAAACCCTAAATTTGTTTGACGTGAGACGGGTGCTGTGTCATGTGACGTCAATGGGATGCCAAGGGCTTTTGCAAGGTGGTTTCAGGGAATCAAGGAACCTGGGGTGTTTAGGGTTTAGGGTTAGGGTTTAGGGTTTAGGCTTTCGGGTTTAGGGTTTCGGGTTTAGGGTTTAGGGTTTAGGGTTTAGTGACAGCTCGGCTGAAGCGGAAGCCCTACAGCGCAGGGCAGGTGGGCGGTGACCTCACCGATGCCATGGGCGCAGGCTGGGTTCAGTTGACATTTTTGCCCTAAACCCTAAACCCTAAACCCTAAACCCTAAACCCTAAACCCTAAACCCTAAACCCTAAACCCTAAACCCCAAACCCCAGACCCCCAAACGCCAAACCCTAAACCCCAAACTTGACTGTCCCGCGCTCTGAGAGCCAAGTCAGCGGAACCTGAAAGAGACTAGGGCCCTAAACCCTAAACCCTAAACACCCCAAACAGGTGGATGGCACTTAGGAGATGTAGAGGTTCCAATCACAACAAGGGCAGCAATTACAAATAGCAACACAAGTGAAGATCATAATTCGTATGCATCGACTAGTATGGGCGTTTACGATCATAAGGGAGCCCGAATACACACCCCAAAATAGCAAGATCCCCTTATAATAGGGACCCCAAGAAGGTACCCCGAATATCGTAAACCCCTATACATATCGGCTAGTATAGTTAGCGGAAATCGAACCCGAAAACCCTAAACCCTAAACCCTAAACCCTAACCCCTAAACCCTAACCCCTAAGCCCGAAACCCTAAACCCTAAACCCCAAACCCCAAACCCGAAACCCTAAGCCCTAAACCCTAAACCCTAAACCTAAACCCTAAACCCTAAGCCCTAAACCCTAAACCCTAAACCCTAATTGAGCTCACGTGTCATCCGTCAGCTTCGGAGGCGCAGCGGCCGCGGCCCCCGCGGTCGGGAACGCGGCACAGGCGGAGCAGGGCAGAACGCGGAACAGAAGGTGTTTAGGGTTTAGGGTTTAGGGTTTAGGGTTTAGGGTCTAGGGTTTAGGGCGAATCATCGTAGCGTCGGCTGCGCACCAGGAACTGCAAGAACTCCCGGATGTGCTTTGCTAGGCCTGATCATCCCCCATCATCAACCCTTAAAGGGCCGTTCTAAGGGGTTGCAGGGTATTAACCCTACTGTATAAAGGGCCTCCTTAAGGGGGGTACAGGGTAGAACCCTGCTGTATTTAAAGGGCCTGGGCCTTTTAAAGAGGGTTGCAGGGAAGAAAACTGGCCCATCCTGGAAGTTGAGAGAGGAAGGTCAGAAGCAGAGGGCAACAGAAGCACCTGGCTTGAGCATCCCAGAGTTGATTTCAGGTGCCTCCCTGACCCTTTACACACCCCAAACCCCAAACCCCAAACCCCAGACCCCAGACCCCAAACCCCGAACCCTAAACCCAAAACCCTAAGCCGCGTGGAGAGGCTGGGGCCGAGGCCGCCATGAGCGGCGCGCAGGCGGCGGCACCGATGGTGCAGGACACTTTTGAGTGTTTAGGGTTTAGGGTTGAGGATTTAGGGTTTAGGGTTAAGGGTTGAGGGTTGAGGCTTGAGGGGGTCATAATGCTCAAGGTTGGGTTTAGGGTCGAGGGTTTCGGCTTCGAGGTTCAGGGTTTCTGCCGGTGTCGCTAGCCGTCTGGACGCGCCAACAAATCAACTTGCAAGCGCCTAAACCCCCTCAAAAGCCGAGAGGGGGGTATAGGGTTTTAGGGTTTAGGGTACGTATACCATATACTACCTACATTCCCAAGTAAGCCTAAACCCTTTCAGGGTTCACATGAGAAGCGCCTGAGAGAAAGTTCTGCACCCCTAAAAAAACCCTAATTCAACTAGAAACCCCTGATAAACCCTTATAGGCCCTTCGAAACCCCTATCAACCCTTAATCCGAGCATCTGTTTGTATAGTTTTTAATATTTTCACATTTAAAGATTGTTTTTCGTCAACAATCCCGCGGCAAGACTGCTGTACTTTCAATTACGGGGGGTTTTCGTATGGGCAAATACGGCAAATACAACCACATTTAAAGAACATTTTCTGGGGGGGGGGGGGGGTGTCAAAAACCCGTACTCTAAAAGCTGAGGCCCTTCAGAAAGCTAGGATTCCTTATGTGATGCCTTACTGAGTACTGGAGAAGAGAAGTTTTCATTCTTTCCTGAGCTACCCCTGATCTGCCCGGCAAAGACAGCACCACATGTAGAGAAAGGGACCACAATTATGGCAGGCCCTGGGGGGGGGGTCCTGCTCCGAATCAATACTCTGCTATTCAGTTTTACTAGAGATTCGATACATTCCTAGTGTTTTCAATACATTCCTATTGTTTTTAATAGCGAATCAGTACATTGCCATGGTGTTATTATTGCGGCGCCCTGCCTTTCTCATTGCGGTGGGGGGGGGGGGGGGCCAATTAAAAAGATGCTCGGATTATAAACCCCGATGAACCCAAAAAGCCCCTATCACCCCCCATCAACACTCATAAACCCCTATAAACTCCTATAAGCCCTCAGAAACCCCTAAACCCTAAACCCTAAACCCTAACCATAAACCCTAAACCCTAAGCCCTGAACCCTAAACCCTGAACCCTACACCCCAGAAACCTGGCAAGCAACTCTCATGAGCCCCTCCAAAGTGGCAGGATGCCGCCTCCAGTGCAGCGGGTGCCGTCATGAGCGGGGCCCAGGCCATGGCTCACACAAAGTCCAAGCTGTCCAGGAGCAGCTTGAGGTTTAGGGTTTAGGGTTTAGGGTTTAGGGTTTAGGGTTTAGGGTTTACGGTTTAGAGCAGAAGAGCAGGGGAGATCGTCGGCCAGCTTAGGTTCACCCAATACTTAGGGAGATTTAGGGAAAGGCCGTTCCGAGTCGTGTGCGTCTCGGAGGTCATCGGCTGTATCGGTCACGAGGGTCTCACATCAAGTGTTGCATGGGAAAAGCTGTCCAAAGTCGGAAAACCAGCAGCCTAGCAACACTTCAAGGTCCATGGCAGACCATTTGCTCAGCTATTTTCGGCCTGGTTCATCCACTCATCCATAACATTCATCACAGAAATCATTGCTTTGAGTCGACATTAGCAAGGTTCCTTTTCATCATGTCGCGCGGCGTCCAGGCAGCGGCTCCTATGGTGGGCGACGCCGCATCAGCGCTGGCGGGTTCTGTCGGGGATGCCGCCAACAGCCTAGGCGGGTTTGGGGTTCAGGTTTAGGGTTTAGGGTTCAGGGTTTAGGGTTTAGGGTTTAGGGTTTAGAGTGCTGAACGAGAAGTTGTGAGCGCTTAGGCGCTTATTTCCCGGAAGTAAGCCGCATGATGCTCCACGCGTGCGCAGATGGCTGTGTAGGTGACAGTGCCAGCGACGGCAACTGCTTCCCTGCGACGGCCACAGCACCATGGGCAGCATTTAGGGTGTAGGGTTTAGGGTTTAGGGTTTAGGGTTTAGGGTTTTGGGGTTTAGGAGCCCTTCAGCCTCATCCCTACAACCCTGGGTACCTGAAGCTAGGTAGGCCCCTTATTTCCCCTTGTAGGGTTCAAAAGGGGACCATACCCTAAACCCTAAACCCTAAACCCTAAACCCTAAACCCTAAACCCTAAACCCTAAACCCTAAACCCTAAACCCTAAACCCTAAACCCTAAACCCTAAACCCTAAACTCAGAATTCAGGGATTGTTTCCGAGGGTTTTTATCGGGCCATTCTGCAAATTGCGCCGTCAGGTGTTTGAGAAGCGGCGCGGGATAGCCCTCATGGCCGACGTCAGGCAAGTCAGGGTTTAGGGTTTGGGGTTCAGGGTTCAGGGTTTAGGGTTTAGGGTTTAGGGTTTAGGGTGGTGATGTCTGCTGACATCGCTCTTTCACTTGGTGCAAGAGTTCAGCCTGGGCCCTCCACCCTAAACCCTAAACCCTGAACCCTAAATCCTAAACCCTAAACCCTAATCCTAAACCCTATAAACCCTGGGTTTAGGGTTGAGGGTTTAGGGTTCAGGGTTTAGGTTTAGGGCCCCCTCCCCCCGAACATCTCGTCAGGATTGGCGACTGGCTTGCAAGTGCCTTATCTCACAGACAGCTCCAGGGTTTAGGGTTTAGGGGTTTTGGGTTTAGGGGTTTATGGTTTCAAAAGGGGTTTTGGGTTTTGGGATTTGGGGGTTTAGGGATGGTCCGTATACCTTCATAGGGGTTATAGGGGTTATACCCATATCTCCCCGATTTTTTGGGCTTGGTTTGGTCTGCAATCACAAGGGGGCAAATGCCACTAATGAGTCGCGAATATGGTCACAAACATTCTGTACTCTGTTCTGAGCAGTTGAAGTGATTTCTGCTGCCCTGCTTATGAAAGGACGTTTCGCATCGGGATGCTTCGGGTTGAGTTGCGGAGGCGAGGTGTGCCCTATCAACCCTACACCCTAAACCCTACACCCTGAACCCTGCTGTCCAGAACCTGACCATTGAAGCCTGTTGACAGCTGAACGCAGATTGCTGATGGAAGTTCTTCACTCTACTGCTGGCGCCCGTGAGCAAGCATCTGAAATTGCTGGTGAGCCTACCCTGCAATCTGCGAAGGTGCCGGTGGTGGCTTCTCAGAGGTCATCGCGTTCCTGCATTTGGATCCAGGCCCTTCGATGCATCAGCTAGCTAGCGAGAGAACCACAGGGGAAATCTGCAGCGAAAGGGGAAGTGTGTGACCTCCGCAGTGTTGACATGCGAGTTCCTGCCCAGGGGCAGCCATGAAGCTTGGCGATGTTATGTGGGTGGTTGTCAATGTTATGGTCCCTTTTTGGATCCCTATCATACTACGGCACCTAATATTTAGGGTACCCCAAAAGGGATCATAATTTTGACAACCACCGATGTGGAGCGTGTGGAGCAGTTGCTTACTTAAGCATGGGCCATTTGATCGTTGCCCACACTGGCCGCTGCCCAGTGCTGGTGGAAGGCGGTGTCATCCTCAGTGCAAAATATCCTATGGTAGAAGCCAAAAAGTTGGAAACTCCATAGCCTGAATCCCTAAGAGTAAAGTATAGGGAATCCCAGGACTATTTGTCCTTAACAGGTTTCCAACTTTTTTGGGGTTTACTGTAGCATGAAGCGGAGATCCGAATCTTGCAGGTTCCATGCCCTACGCGAAGATTTGAGTCCCTAAGCCCTGTAAGCCCTAAACCCACCCTCAATCAACATCAGCAAGAAGTGCTAAGGAAGTGCATTTCCATCATGCATGAGACTGGAGCGCTCGTCGGAACCTGAGACCTAGTCGCAGCGAACTTGATCCGAGCCTTCTCGCGCTTCTCAGGCTTCGCGTGCGACGCGCTGTCCGCTTCAAAGATCCCAAACCCTCAACACTCCTGGGCGTTAAGCTGAGTTCTTGCCAAGGTCCTCTCTCCTGGGCACCTAATTCTGGTGCGGTCAGGCGCGGGATTCTCTGTGAGCCCCCCGATCCCGCAGACACGTTGAGACACGACTTGAGACACCTGGGGGGGGGCATCTCTTGTGGTGAGGACTTCGAGACTGTGAGGAGCCTCGCTTTGCTCGCTGGCCGAATCTGTCGTTCTCTCTCTCTCTCTATCCCCTCTCGCTCTCTCTCTCTCTCTCTCTCTCTTTCTCTCTCTCGCTCTCTCTGCACGGATCGTTACTGTGGATACTGACTGTCGTTATGTACTCTGACACAGCAAGAAAAGCTGGCACGAGCGGCACGAGACGTGATGCGCAACAGCAGAGGTCTCACGTGAGCTGCATGCACGTGCATGCGCTGCATTTTCACTTGCCAAGGTCAGGGCGGGCACACTGAGGCCAGGCGATGTGACAACAGAAGGGTGGTAAATTCAACACAAAATAATCGGAAATGCCCTAGGTACTAGACAGCACGCTGGTACTTGTAGAGGTCCGTAACCCGACGTCCCCCACCCAATAGCTGGGCTCCCAACACCCTAAACCCTAAACCCTAAACCCTAAACCCTAAACCCTAAACCTAAACCCTAAACCCTAAACCCTAAACCCTGAACCCTAAACCCTGAACCCTAGACCCTCCTTGCAAGAGGCGCGGCGACATCCTCGAAGATGCCGCAGGACTGCCCTGCAAGAATTCGCAACCTTGGGGGCGAAATGAACCCCAAAAAAAGCTTTGATGGTTCAGATACCTTGATAGGGGATATGTTAGCCTTAGTATAGGTTAAAATGATGAACCCTAAAGGGGATTTAAGGGTTCATATAGGGATGAGTAGGGATTATTGTAGTATAGGGCATATGACCCCAATTTTGGGATTCGGAGTCGGTCCCGAAGGAAAGTGGCATTTCAGGGTACCTTTTTGGGGTCATTCTTCATGTCTTACAAGGGAAATCCTGCTGTTTGGGGGTACCTTATTGGGGGGGTCTTCTTATAAAGGGTAAGCCTACTATTTGGGGGTGTATATTGGGGTCCCTGATTTTCGTAGACCCTCCCCATTCTGCCGGCTTCCCTGGTCGGAGGACGGCCGTCGGCCGTCCTCAGGGTGAAGAAGGTCTGCGCCGCAGGCCAGGAGACTGAGCTTGAGGTTGTAACCAGGATTTGGAAGGGTTTTTGGAACGGGTTTAGGGTTTAGGGTTTCGGGTTTAGGGTTTAGGGTTTAGGGTTTAGGATTTAGGGTTTAGGGTTCAGGGTGTATTTTTTTTTTTTTCTGGGGGGAGGGGGGTGGGGGCAGGGTTGATAGCTGAACCGGCTCTATATCAATCGGGTTTAGGTGTTAAGGGCTGGTTTTCTACACCTAAACCCTAAACCCTAAACCCTAAACCCTAAACCCTAAACCCTAAACCCTAAACCCTAAACCCTAAACCCTAAACCCTAAACCCTAAACCCTAAACCCTAAACCCTAAAACCCTAAACCCTAAACCCTAAACCCTAAACCCTAAACCCTAGCCCCTAAACCCTAAACCCTAAACCCTAAACCCTAAACCCTAAACCCTAAACCCTAAACCCTAAACCCTAAACCCTAAACCCTAAACCCTAAACCCTAAACCCTAAACCCTAAACCCTAAACCCTAAACCCTAAACCCTAAACTATATACCTTCAAATGCATTGCAGATATGGGCCAGCATAGCTTAGAATTATCGGTCCGTGTTAGTCCTAGGGGAGGGCGGTCTCGATATACGGCAGGTCTGGCTTGGGGATTGTCAGTCGGGGACATCTCCAACACATAAAGTGTAGGCGAGCCAGAAACAATGACTTGAGTCGGGTGCAAAATCAAAACATGGTTGTCATCAAGGCAAAAACAATGACTTCGGTCAGGTGCAATTGCAAGAACATAGCTGTCAGCCGGGCAAAAACAATGATTTTGAACTACAAAAACACTTATTGTTGACAGGACACAGAGACGAACACTAAGCAAAGGCGAAGCCAAACATTGAACATTTTGTCAGCAGATGGTCTTAACATACGTGTTTTTTTGGTTGCACAAGTCCAGGTGAGCATCTCCAAACCATGGTTCTGAAACGAAAACCTTGCAACTACAGAACGGGCTTGATGTAAGAGCATGCCTGATCTCAGCCTGTGCATGCAGTGTGTTTTAGGCTCTGCGCTTTGATGCACAGTGTGTTAGTTTGTGTGACGTAGTGTTGTTTCTTGTTGCTGCATGTGGTGTGTTTGCTGCGCGCGCCATTACTCAAGCACTGCTGTAGCATAGTTCACGGATTCATTCGCAAATTAGTGATGAACAATCATTCAACTTCATCATACATACTGTGGCAGATTTTCGCTGTTGCCGCTTGCCTAAACATAAACACGAAACTGCCAGCTGCCCGTGGGTCGGCCGCGTCAGAAAGCCCTGAGCTCAGTCACATGGCAGTCAGCCAAGCAATTGCTTCCCGGCGGCTCAATGTGTGGGCCAGCACAAACTTCACGTACGTCTCTGCTTCCAGAGTATATGGCAAAGCTGCGCTGCAAGCTTTGCTGGTAGACATCTTCGTGCAGCAGGGGGAGCCCCGACGGAATGCACAGTCGCGTGTAAGTTCAGCCTTATCAACTGTGCTTCGGCTGCAGTGTGGGCATGTTTGCATGACTGTCTGCAGTAGGTATCGGCAGTGCAAAAGCGGCAGTAGCGATGCGATTGTCTTGTGTCAGATGTGTCACGTGCAAGCATGCATGCTGAATTTAGAGTCAAGTCAAGTGCATGGATGCTTGTTGTTGAAGCAGCGCATGCATTGTTCTTGTTCAGTTGTTTGTCTTGCGCACGTGGTGAGTGAGTGCATGCACGCTGAATTCGGACGGCTGTATTGTGCTAGCTTGCCCAGTGCTTCAGCCTTCATTGTTTTTGTGTTGCATATCTGAACCGTGAGTCAGCACCTTCTGCAAAGTACTGTTGCGAAGACGAGATTATGTAGCAATTATGGGGATCATGATGATGATGATGTGTTTGTTGCCCTTAGGTGACGGTCCTCATGAATCGTTTCGTGAAGCATGCAGACGTGCAGACGTTGGTTCTTCCACAGTTGGGATTGTCTCCGATTGATTTCGCAGCAATCGGAACACATAGTGGGCCCCAACTGGTCACCGACGATGACAACGACGAACGCCAAGTGGCAATTGCCGATGATAATGATGAGGCGCCACCAATAGCAGATGTTTCGGCCTCGGCACCAGCCGACGCCAGACGTGGAAATTGGGCAGCTTCCAGGGCAAGTACGAATTCATCTTTCACCGCCATAGATGTTGATGGTGATGGTGTCGATCAGAATTCAGCTGCGGCTGGATCTCAACCTTTGCAACTGGTAGAAGCAGATGCAACCAGGAACACTCAGCTTGCAAGGTTTTCTCCGTGGGGCAGCGGAAGAATGACTTTGACTGCTTTGAAATCGTTAACACGCGAGGACTATCTTCAAATGACACCTGCTCGTGCAGCACTCGTTGGGGCTCAGGCTTCGTCAGCACTTTCGAAAGCAATGACTCAGATTGCGGCTGCTGCTGCGGCGAAGAAACAATTGAATCGAAAGCTCTCCAATGAAAAAGCACGCTCGGCGAAAATGAAGGTCCTGCAAGACCAGTCGCAATCGCACGACTCGACACTTGTGCTCCACACCAAGCCAGGTTCTGGCAAAAGGCTAACTGCACAGGCCAGTCTCGCGCTCGGAATTCGCAAAAACTTAGCACATGTGGCGGCTGCAGACTTCGGAGCGCTTCTTCTACAAGACATCTCAGCATCGACTGTGTTACGTGCAGAAGTGAGGACAGGGGCAGCACTGGCTGCAAGTATGCGGGACCACGTAGGCAACCTTATGTCTGCGCTACGCGTCACAGATGAGAACTGTGTCCAGCCGGATGTTGTGGATGCAGTTGACGTCAGCGACATTGCGTACTGTGAAAGTGCCTGGAACCTTCTTTTCATTTGTGTGCGCGCCGACGCGACAAACAGCTCCATCTGGCGCAGAGAGAAGCTGCATGTTACTGAGGCTCACTTAGGACTTGTCAACAAATCCGTGAAGAGTTTCCCTGACTCTCCCGACAAGTTCATGAGCACTCGTCGATGCCTGCAAGGACCTGAGTTTGTCGGCTTGCGTGAGTGATTGCACTCATGAATCATGTGCGGCTGCGCATTGTGGGAGCTGGTTGAGTCGTAATTAGTGCACATGGCCCGGGCACGGGATGGTCTATCAGTCTATCAGTGTCTATCACTGAACTTACTGAACTGAATTGCGCAAAGGTCGGATCTACAGATCGTCTCAGGGAGCACAGCTGAACATTGTGCTGGCATTCTCCAGAAACAGTTGAATTCGATCGGAGTGCCATCTGTTTCTGACATAGTTGCTGAACTGAACCGAGAGACACTGGGCTTATTACTTATCAAGATCATGAACAGTGTTTATGATGCTTATGTGCCGTATGTGCATTAGAATCGGAAGCTTGCCGCTGCTCCTGTGTGCACTGCAAAGCCTTGTTCTGCTGAGTGCGTTCTCATTTGTGGTCATGTTGGTGTGTGCGGAGTGTGCTATTGCCCAGGGACTCGTCACTGAGTAGCAGCCGGTCAATCATCGTGTACCTCGACACAACCGACCGCGGAACTGACCAGCTTGCGAGACGGAAGAGAACGGCTGCAGCAGTCGAATCGATCAATCAGGTCGTTTATATTCCGTCAGACTGCTACCTGCATGTCTTCCACGCTGCAGTCCGTGGAGGTTTGGAGCTCGTGGACCAGCTCATTGCAGAGACCTTCAGCAGGGACACGCTAAAAGGGTTTGATCGGTACTATTCCTCCTTAGCGAAGATCGTTAATCTCTGGAGGGAGAAGGCTTCAGACATGATGACAGCATGGCAAAACGAACACAGTCAAGCAGACAAAGACGTTCGTGATCTTGGCCGGCGATATCCGCTCTCAGTGTCCACTGGCCGCTGGGGCTCAGTGGAGGGGGCAGAAGAATTTCTGCTTGAGCGTGGCAGGAAACTCGTCGAGCCGTGTATGCTTCAGGTGTTGTCGCGAAGCATGAAGGCAGATCCAAGTCAAGGAGGTGGCGGGGCCGTTTTAGCATATACAAGTCGGTGGGTGCCAAATGAGCTGTCGTCATGAGTCGTCGTGCGGCGTGTGCTCCTTGAAAAGCTTTGTGACATTGTGATGTAGATTCTATGTCTTTTGCAGTTTGCGCTTTGCATGTGTGAGAGAAAGAGAGTCATGCGGTCTTATTACAACTGATCACGTCAAATGCAGTTTCACAGCTTCGCAGTCTCACAGTTCGTCGTTTTGCAGGTAGCCGGGAGCCGACCAGGTAGCCTTGGCTGTGGCTAGTTGTCTGAAGTTGTATCTGTTGTCTCTCAGGATAGGCGGAATATCAGACGTCTCTGTCAAACAATAAAAGTGTAGGAATCCCCGTCAGGTGGCAAGACCGACACAGGCGTGGCAGACGAAGCAGCTGCAACCGCCAAGCCTGAAGATGGCAATGAAGCAATGGGTCTGGATGACTTGAGAGAAAACGAAGCAGCGTCATACAGGATACGCCTCAGCAAATGGTGCCAGGGCTCGATGAACGCCATCACGTCATGCATATTTTGGTGCCTGCTGTATCTGTGTAGGACGCTCCGCTCTCCGTTGAGACACTTCATGCTGATAGTCCAGAAAGAAGCTCGTGGTGGAGAGTGTATGTTCAAGCTCATCACGAGCAAACTGCAACAGCTCATAAACGAGTTCCAGAATTTGTTCCGGAAACTACCGGCTATCGTCAGCCAGGCATTGCAGCTATCAGGCTGCCTTGACCCTGTCAGTGGCTTGGCAGATCGAGAAATTCAGCATATGCGGTACGTGGCTCTTCGGTTGCTCTTGATGCACTGGGCTGCATTTCGCCGGCGCATTGTTCGTCCATTGCAACAATTTCCATGGCAACTGTTCTGGCTGATTAAGGACCCTCCAAGACAGTTTTCGCAGAAACGGAAAGATGTTGCTGCGAAGTTTTTGAACATTGACCCGAATCAGCTGGACCCATCGACCCGCAAACTGCGTGTCATATGTGAGCGGGAAGTGCAGCACATGAAAGAGCATGGGGTGTTCCCAAACGTGCCATGTGCATCGGGCAGTTTCATGTTTGCATTCCTGAAGGGTCTGGCCAAAATGCAGCCAGTTGACACACAAGCAATCGAGGGCATCAACAGTGTCATCAAGTTGGTTGGGCGTCGATGTCCAAATATCTCCTTGGAACTCATGTCGGCACGGTTGGCCGTTAGACGGTCCCTCAGTGAAGACGGAAGCATGCGCAGATGCAAGAAGTGGTCCAAGATCAGACACACTGCTGAAGGTCTGTTGGCCACAGTCGCTGGGTATCACACGGCTGCGCTCGCCATCATGAACGGTGACTCACGATGGTCTGTGCCTTTACCTGTAGAGTTAGTCCATGATGATGATCGTCAAGCTGTCCTAGCCATCACTGACAAGCAGGCTGTAGCATGTGTTCGTGCCGACTGTGTGTCGCCTGGGACATCCACAGTCCCAGCACTAGTGCCTGATGACACAGCTGATGCTACTGAAGTTGGCACGGGGAGAGGTAGTAGTAGCATCGGTTGCAGGTCTGAGGGTGTGGCTGCCGCTACGGTGAATTCAGTCATGGAGACGGAGACGGCGGGCGATTCGAGTTTTTTCGAATCTCTCACATCACAGGAAGTGGTTGTCTGGGCAAAATCTTACAATTTGGGCTGGCGCCGGGCCACGAATGGCCTGCATGGCAAGGTGCCAACGAAAAAATCTAAGCTTTCTGCAGACAATGCAAACGGTGACAAGGACCGCGGCATGCTGCTGGCTGTTTTTCAGCCTGACACCATGGATGAAGTTCAGCACAGGTCCCAGAAACTGCCACATGTCTTTGCGGTTGCTGAGAAGTTTTCCGTCAGTGTCATGTTTACAAAATTGGACATCGTTCAAGAACACGGCCAGAACTACCTCACGTGGAATTACAGCGATCACAACTGCATCGAATCAACTTTGCTCATGACAACTTTTCATGGTGCGTGCTGTGGCGCAGGTGGTTCGTCATTCAATGTCGGTTGTGTCGTGCTGCGATCAGAAAGAGCTCAACTTCTCCTGCGCGGGTTGGCAATGCTTGGGTCTGGGGAGATGTTGTCATTGGAGTCAGTGCTGGCTGAATCGAGGCATTGTTTTGTCATGACTGCAGCGCCGCTGCCACGACCGACAAAGCAGAAACAACACAAACCCAAAGCAGCCAAGGCAAAAGCGAAGGCCAGCAGATCAAAAGCCAAGGCCAAGGCCACTGCCACAGCAGCATCCATCACTGAGAAACCTGGAGTGTCCAAGCGCAAACACACTGATGACGGTGCTGACGACCAAGAAGGCGACGACGACAACGACGATGCAGGTAAGCTAGAGCAATATTTGTTGGATCAGAATGTGTGCGACGAAGAAGAGTACCGGACCAGCTCAGACGAAAGCGACGAACTCGATTCAGCTGACCTTGCAGCTGCCGAGATCAAGAAAGCATGCTCTCACACAGCTTCGTCGTCTTCAGGATCTGCAGGACAAATGTTGTCGGTTCATGCGGTGCATGATCTGGCAAACGAACTGCAACAACGTGCAGAGTTGGCGCCGCCTGGTGATGTCGAAGAAGAAGCTCTGTTGCTGCTAGTGCGACGGGCAAGGTCCGAGAAAAACAAGGAACTAGGAGCAGGATGTTCCCGTCGCAAGCCACATCATGTCACGGGTCAGCCAAGCCGGTCAGTGTTGGACACTCAGCCAGGCGTGATGGATGCGTCAATAGTGGCCGAAACATCTGGCAGTGACGCTGGCAGCGAGCGTGACACAGACGACGACAACAACAGCAGCGATTTGCCAGAGGAGCTAGCAAACGTACTTGGCGTGCAGAGCATAGTGGAGATGGGTAGACCTGGACGTGTACTTGTCATGTGGGCAGTGTCTTGCCACCACATGCTAGTGGCCATGTCTGAGTTTGCAAAGTTCAAAGACATCAGTCCCGGGCACGAACGCAGCATCAGCTTAGTTTTGCTTGCTGGGCAGGACCCAATTCCTGGCTGCAAGTGCGTACGTTGCAAGTTTCAAGATACGTCTCAAGAGGTTATGTGGGTGCATTGGGTCTACAACACCAACAAGCTACTTGGTGAGATTAGGTGTCAGCTCAGCTCATTCCTAAACGTTCCGCCGTTCTGCTGATCTGCTTTGTGAGTTGGTACAGCTGCACCACCGCCCAAGCAAGCATGATGTGTAGTGCTGTTTTCTGTGCTGTGCTGTTGAGTCTGTTGATGAGATTGAACTACCCACCTAGACTCACCTAGACTGTCACCGGGACCGTCACTACAGTCACTACAGGCGTGGTTTGCAACGGCGGTCGGGACGACAGGTCATGCTGGACTCTGAAAACAAGATACTTTATTCCACGCCTGATACGAGTATATGTCGCACGGGCGTGAGTTCTGGTATGGGCTTGCCGGAACTGTGCCTGGAGCCCGATCACGCACACATTCTTCTCAGCTTTGTCGGTGCTGCCATGAGAAAACTGAAGAAGACGGATTCCAGCAGAGACACTGTTCCAGCACACTTTGTGCGTATGAAGCTATTTTGTGATGCTATGTCGACGAATGCACTATCGGGGGAACAGCGTGCTTCAGGACAAATGATGAATGTGCAGGCCCGTCGGTTGCGTTTGTTGTATGGTCATGCTTAGTGTCATGCTGCTTCTGACCGTCAGGGTTTGAGATGTGCAAACACTCTGTTGTGTGACGTGATTGTGACAGAGCATCTGGAGTACCGGCTAGTCGGTTAGCTGCGAGGCTGCGAGCTGTTGTGAGTCGTGTTGTGTGCATGTAGCTGCCAGCTGCCAGGACATGTCTGCATTTGCTGACTTTGATTTGGAAGCAGAGGGGTCGGACGGCGCGCACAAATGCATTTCTTGCAAGACTAGCACAGGAAGTACGATCCGTTGTCCGTTCTGCTTACGCTGGTGGCATGACAAATGTGCGCAAGACATGTTGCGCCGCTGTGCAGAGTCGAGATTCATTGACAACTTCACTGCTGTCGAGAGGGAGTTGATCCGGTCCTTGCAATTGCACAGAGTGCCGTCTCCGAGCAATCGCGATTGGTGGAAGTTGCTGACTGATAGCGTCAGTTGTGTGTCTAGCAGTGCAGCTTCTTCGTCAGAGCAGTCGGTGACTCAGTGTGCTCGCAGTCTCACGCCTCATTGAATGCCGACGTGTGGCGTGTGCGCAATGTGTAGTAATGCATTGACTTATAGAGCAGACAGGACATGTCAGACATTGCCTAGCAGTGACGTTGTGTTCTGACACGCCTGGCCTAGCAACATTCTTCAGACTTGTTCGGCCTGCTTGATTCTGTCCGCCAGGACTACTGAGCTGACGTAGGTAGCTGTGACTGACGCCGCACATCCGACAAAATGAGAAGCTACAGCGTGTGCTGTGTTGCAGTGGATTCTTGTGGACGTGAGGTCGTTGTCGTCATCTACAGCCGGCACCTGCAGATTATGCATCGCGATGCTGACAACAACTTTGCAGTCAGAAGCCCATGTTCGTTGCGACAGTCCGTGATGTGTTGTGTCCGTAATGTACGAGTGAATCGGAAGTAGTTTTGTGTTCGTAAGGAATCCTAAGAGCAAAAGTCTTGCGACTGCGAGGTGCTAAGCAGTGGGTGGCCTGCTGCTGCAGGCCAACGCCCGGCTCCCGGACGAAGTGCAGTGAGTGCTGCATTGCATTGAATGCTTCAATATATTTCGACATGCCATGTGAGCTACGCAGCTACAAGATACGAGACTCCAAGACAGTAAGTTGTGTATGTGTGTCAGTGTGTCATGTGTGTCAGGTTCTATAAAAGGAAAGCGTGCAGTGGAGCGTGAATGCATGTCTGATGATACGATTTGCAATCATAAGCTCAGAAGCTCAGAGTCGGCAAACGTCGGCAGTAGAGTCCACAAAGCAGTAGGGCAGTGACACAGCGTTTGGTGAGAAAATGCTACATTCATGTGTGCTGTGTGCTAGTGTAGAATTGGGCATGCTAATTCAATGTAGCGCCGCTCTTGTCACGAGATTGTAGTTGCCAGCGGTTGCCATCATTCCGCGCAATGTCTGAGCCCAGTGGTCATGATGATGGTCGCAAGAGTTCTATCTTGAAATCTCTCGACTTGCATAACAAGGCACCGCCTCAGCCGAAAAGCCGCCCCAACACGAACCGGCAAAAGGGACAGCCAATGAAGCCAGCAGAGCCGGCGGACCCTCCGAAAGCGACAGGAGCACCGCCGCCACCGCCACCACCGCTACCACCGCCACACTCAACGCCACCACCGCCACCGCCACCACCCCCTCCTGCCATGTCACCCCCACCACCAGGCCCACCACCAGGCCAACCAGGCCCACCCCCGCCACGAGCACCAAGCAACACACTCCAGCCTCCTTCAGTGCCTGCAGGCCAAGCAGTGTTTCCACAGCCCAGACTGCCTACTTGTCCGCCCATGGGATCAGCTGACATTTTTGGACTCACAGGCTTGAATTCATTTCCACCAGCACACCCGGGCTTCTGCAACATGGCACAGACGCCGCCAGGCCTTGGTGTGATGTCAATGTTACCGAGACAGATGATGCAGCCTTTGCCTTTGCCTATACCTGGCCTACCTGGATCAGTATTTCCACAGGCGCCATATATGCCCACGATGACAGGCCACCTTGGGCAATCCCCTTGCCCGTGTCCAGCATGCAGTCCGCTACTCGTGCCGGCACCAAGGGCGCCGACAGCGCCGCAACCACAGCCGGAACAACGCTCAGATGCAACTCTCAACTCCGCTGCAACATCCCCGCCGCCACAAAGCACAAAACAAGAGCAGCCAGAACACAAGCCGCCGCGACAGGCTCCAAAACCGAGCATGGCGCCGCATGTCTTGACTGCTCGGAACACTGAGCCAGCACACCATCAGGAAGAAGAGGAATCTTCGGACGATGTGACTCCTGAGGCGACCACTCTTACAACAAGGCACATGATATAGTAGACACAGAGATTAGAGATGACGGATGTGTGTGTTTGTCTTGCAGTTTCGTTGCAAAGTAAGCCTGCACAATCGCAGTTTGGGACGAGAGCCTCGACCTTACTCACAGATGCATGTTTCTCGATTGGATATCGGACAGGACTCTTGTCTGCGCAGCTTATTTGCTTTTGTGACTTGTTTTGAGCAAATAATGTGAGTGTGTCACGTTCTCGTGTGGATCAGCTAGCACACATGACAATCCGAGGACATACAATCTGTACGGGAGCAGATGGAGAGGCAACGTGAAATGCAAGAGCAAGCTGAGATTGCGGCGAGGCATCGCGCAGAAGCAGAACAAGCAGCATCCGCAGCAGCTGCACAATACAGGGTAGAAGTCCAAGCAGCTGCTGCGGCTGAACAGGCTGCCGCAGCAGCGCAACAACAACGTGCTCTGCTGGCGCGACAGCAGCGTGCAGACGCCGAAGCACAGGCACGTGCAGAACAAGAAAGGGCTGCAGCAGCCGAGAGACATTCCAGGGAAGTACAAAGAGCTAACGAGGAGCAGGCGGCTGCGGATGCTCGCAGAGCGCAGAAAGAACTTGAACATCTGCAAAATCTCCGAAAGACACTGGAATTGCAAGAGCAGAAGGATGCTGCGGCAATGAAAGCTCATTTGGCAGCTTCGGCGTCCCACAATGAGGACGAGCGCTGCAGGGCTAGTGTCTGGGTTCGTTGAGTGTGTTCAGCGTGTGCAGGAGAGTCGGGAGAAGAAAACTGGGACCGATGATGCGGTGCAGGTGGTTGATGGTGATGCAGCAGCCTCAGCAGCGGTGCGGCAACATTATGGCGAAAGCAATTACAATATATATAATTGTGTTTTGCGTGTGGACAAACTAAGGACACAGAATCGTCGTCATCGTCTTCTTCTTCGTCGAGCGAGGCTCAGGAGAAGCCGCCCAATGATGAGGCTGCTCAAGCGGCTGCAGCCAATGCGGGTGCTGACGCGGCTCCTGCCGCGGAGGCTATATCACTTGCATGTGTTTAGCGAGCACATTGTGATGCTAGTGCTTATGCAGCAGGGTGCTGTGTGAGCCAGATATTCACAGGACACAAAGCCACCGAAGAAGCCCAGGAAGAATGCTGCAAAGGCCAAACCAAAACCAGACCCGAAGACAAAGGCACGTGATGTTGTGATGTTTCTGTAGCTGTAGTGTTGCAAGTGCCGCCACGTTGTGGTCTTGACCAGTATTATCTTATCTTCAGGCCGGTGGCGGAAGCAAAAAGAAGCGTGCCGACAGTGGGGAAGGCACCGAGGGAAGCAAAAAGAAGCGCGGCGACCGCAGCAAGGATGAAAACACAGAGGCAGAGGAGTGCTGAGCTAACAATAATATGAAACTCCTACATTTGTGGGCCAAACACTGCCACCGTGTGGCGAGTGCAGGACAGTACAAAGAAGAAGACACGATCTGCAACTCGTCTTAGTCAATAGTCAGTGTCACCAGTGTCATTGTCACAGTCGAGTTATTACATTAGCGAATCCAGACAACTTCAGTTGTTGCAATGCGATCTGCATAACTGAGTCCGCAAGCCGTCCATCTGGACAGACACGCAGCCGCACGCCGGCTAGAGAGTCAGCCAGCCGTCCACCTGGACGGGCGCGTAGCCGTACGCCAGCTAGATAGGCTGCACTGTTGCACCAGAAGGAAGTGGAGGATGGCGCATGGCCGACAGGACAAAGAAATAAAGAAACAGAGCCAGCGCGGAATGCATTCGTTGTGCAAGCATGTTGGCTGCGCAATGTGATGATAACAAATGCAACATGTGCAGTTGATTTGTTCATCCAGGTCAGAACGAATGCGGACCGCGCTGACCGATGCCAAGGCCTCACTCATCCAGGTGTTGGGCGTTGGGTTTTGGGTGTGTGGTTAGATTCCACCACCCCTTAGAACTCTCATCCATAAGCAACACCTCTTAGAACTCCAATCCTAACGACCCCCTCCCCTTAGGACTGTAATCCTACCACCCTCTCTCTTAGAACTCCAATCCTAACCCCCTCCACGCACCCCTCAGAACCCCAATCCTGAGACACACTCCCCCCCCCCCTAGAACTCCACCCCCACACCCACCCCTCAGAACTCCAGTCCTAACACCCCCC